ATAGTAATCCCCTATATAACCCTCCCTTAAGGAGTTTAGACCACTTTTTCATGTGCTGTCTGTGTCGATACAAAAGCCCATGCCATCCAAGCTCTCGGTCGGTGGGCTTCAGATAAAGACAGATCCCAAAATATGGAACCTCCCAATATTTTGGGGTAATATTGGGATAATGGAAAAGAAAATGGAAACTACTATAATAGGGTATATATTAGGGTTATATTAGGGTATATATTGGTGTCATATTGGGATAATGGAAAAAAAGATGGAAACTACTATAATGGTTTTATAGGGGATATATTTGGGCATATTACAGGAGGTAGAGGGTGCCTGGTGAGAGAGCCACAGCTCGTTCTTGATGATGGTTCTTCGAAGGGGCGCTGCCTGCAGCGACTGCAAAGTCAACACCATGGACAGCTCGTCGTGAAGTGCCCAGCAGAACAGAAGTGCTCCCGGGCCCTGTTGGTTCTTGGAATGTTGCAAGCCACGCCTGAGAGACAGCCCACATGGTGCCTGGGTGAGCTGCCGTCAGCCGGTTGTGTGACACTCCATGGTTAAAAGAATGCGTTACCAAGGGCCCCGGCGCCCTGCCGTCACAGTGACCCCTTCCAGCGAGCGCCAAAAGTTGTTCAAAGCCTCAACTTGGCAAGTAGTTGTCTCCGCGCGAGGATTTCTGATAGCAACATGCTATTTTTTGACTCCTACTACAGGAAGTCTCATCCGGTTCTACACATGCGAGACGCAGGCTTTGGCAGCCCCTTTAGAGGTTCACAGCTGACATCATTGCAGGCACGCCAGCTGGGACGCTCGGCCTGGTCTGTGATATCGTTGCTAACCTCATTGCGAACAGCACATGATGTGCTACGGGCTCGCATGAGCTGGGCTTCCGGACCCAAACGTCGTCTAGAGTGACCTGGAGACTTCAGTTTGGACCGCTCCAGCATTCAGCATTGGTCAGCATTGCAAGATTGCAGGGGGCATGATGGGGCCATCACCCATTCCGGGCCCCTGCCGACGCCGCTGACAGTGGTGTAGTAGCCTGCACTCTGAACATTGCTCAATTACGTTTCTTCTTATGCCCTGGTGGCACCGCCCGCCTACATTGACGGCCATATCCTTTGGATAAACCTCGGGAGCACGGAGCTAGCGGAGCACCAACCGCGAGCAAAATTCGAGACAGCGGCTCCGGGTTTGAGTAAGACCGCGCGTCTGGCCTCAGGGATACGGGGGGTTGTGCCGGTTATAATGGAAAATAAATGGAAACTACTATATTATATAGGGTTATATTGGGGTTATATAGGGGTTAAGTTATGTTGCAGTCTTCTCCGGCAGAGCTTGTAAATGTCCCAGCATCGGGCAGGTCCGAAATGCGTCGTCGCCGTCTTGACCTCCAGAAGCCTTGCCTACAAAAGCGCAGGATTGGTGATTCTACAGGAAGTGTCAACCATGTTCAGCATCAGGAATGACCCTAATATGTACCCTATGATAATACAGTATTTTCCATGTTCTTTTCCATTATCCCTATATAACCCCAACCCTAAACCCTAAACCTTAAACCCCAAACCCAAGGTAGTACTTTCCATGTTTTTCCATTATTCCTGTATAACCCCAATATACCACTCTGCAAAATGATTCCAAAGATTCCCCAACGCGTGGTGGCATGCCTTGAGCTCTTTGAGGTCCATGGACGGATCTAAAACAACTATCCTGAGCTGACATGACGCACATAGGGTTATATAGGGTAAATTATATATTGGGATTGTATTGGGGTTATATTGTATAACCCCTATATAACCCCTTTATACTATATAGCAGTTTCCATTCTCTGTTCCATTATCCCTAATATAATCCCTATTAACAAAAGCCATCGCCAGGATTCGAATGCTCCTTCCCTTTTCGCTGATGCCTACTGCATGCCCAGGCTCTCAGGTATGTCGCTGTACCAATGCTGTTGGCTGCCATATTCCTGGCACAGAGGCCAGAAACAATGCCCCTTTCTTGCAGCCTGACACCTGACAACACTGACATCTTCAAACCAACACCAGAACACCAGGGACACAGGGGCCTTGAAGTCCCCGGCCAAGTGACATTCTGCCAGTCTGACCCAGAGGACCTGGCAGCTGCGAAACATCGACATCTCCTGTTGGGCTTAGAGTCACAGCTCTCAGTGGGAGGCCATTAGCAGTCCAAACTCCAGGTGTGGAAGCGCTCTTTGGCGCCCCATAACTTGCCTCTTTCTAGCCTGAGAGCATGGACAGTTGGCCAGCTATATGTATTTCAAGAGCGCTGGCGACTGCTGGACATCTAAGACCTGCACACTGTGGGTCACCGTGTTAAACGGGACACCACACAGCGCAGAAAGAGGAGCCCCCTTCTGAGCCCGGGGACTCTCGGATGCACAGGGCACTGAAAGCATGTGCGTCAATTACACCGCAGTTGTCATTGCCAACTAAGACAGGAATGGTTCAACCTCGAAGGCTACTTCTCAAAGAATATGTTCTTCTCAATGTGCGGGGCGGAATCCGAAGGGAAGGCACAAATCTCTTGCGCATGAAGTCTACGTTCATCGCTGTAAATTCCTTTGGTTAGCTCCCCCCCATCTCCCCCGACTGCACCCCAAGAACCCAGGCTGCGTCCTTCACAACCTGTAGCAGGTTAGGAAAACCTGCCGCATCAATGCTGAAGCCGTGCTTTCGCAGGGTGGCCTTTCAAGGAGAACTTCGACAGTACATGACGTCCCTCTCCGAGCGATTTGCAGCTGCACCTTCCAAAAAATGGAAAGCAGCTTGGCCACGGCCTGCCCGCGCCATGTTTGAGTTTGCATGCTTGCAGGCACTTGCCCTCTCTGACTCTCTGCTTCCTGCAATCCCCTTTCCGCCTCGCGCTTCTTGAAGGCTCCCCAGTCCATTCTCCGCAGGTCTGCTAAGTCCTTGCTGAATGTACCGCACTACGAGGACATGTGATGGAGATGCGAACAGTGCAGCGACCTTCTGGAACTTGGCACTATTGGAGACGGTCCGGAGCTCCTGTTGCGTTGCGGCAAGTCTTTTTGAGAAGGTCTCCTGACTGGAAAGCTCCTCCAAGAGTCGTCGCACTTCATCCAGCGAAAGTTCTGGCGCCTTGGTCAAAAAGCTGTGAGAATGGCTGAAAACTTCTCCCATCAACTTACCATGCCGTCGCTTCAAAGAACCTTCCGCCACACGTTACTTGAAGGTTGGTTGTGATGCTGAACTCTCCGCAGCAACTCAGGCCACCGGAGCCCCCAGCTGGAATCACTCGGAATGAAATTAAAACAGTTGTCAACTTACAATCGTAGTATGAGAGCTACTCGCTGGAGCACAGCTGCCTCGGTTTTCGAACATCTTTGCCTGTGGCTACAAAATTACGCAGGAGGCCGAAGTCCTGCAAAGACATTTTCTTTGAGTACATGCTGCCTCATCGAATTTTCGCCACATGAGCTACAGTCTAAACTCCTTGTATCTCCCTTAAAAAGACCCATATTATAATCCCCTAGATAATCCAGTATATAGCCCCTTTTAAGCAGTTTAGACTATAGCTCACATGACTCTGGCTGAACAATGCTGTGGACCACCGAGATCCGGACTGGAGTTTTCTGTGCGGCACGCTTGGGCCTTCGGAAATACCCGCAGCTACTGGATTGCTGTTAAGGAACTTAATTCATCTTATTATATTGGGGAAACCATATTGATTACTTTGTATACACACTATGGTAACTTAATTTAAGTTCCTTAACAGCAACCCAGGCTACGCAATGTGTGAGGAGGCCAAGAGTTGACGCTAGTTGCTAGTCATTTCTACATCGGCGTGTGTTTGCTGTTTACTTTTGTTGCACAAGCTCGTTTAGTCAACTCTGTCTGACGTACACGACCTCATCATCCGGATCACTCATACTTTTTCTTGGGGCAACAAGCCTTCACTTGCTGAAAGCCTGGCGGTGCGAAGTAGCATACCAAGAACTGCTGAACAAGTCAAACGATCATCATTTGCAGCTTCCTTCAGCTGACGAGTTTGTTTGTGTGCCCTCAGATGGAAAAAGGGGACTTGGTCTACCTTGGCGCGGGCGGTTCCTTTTTGGAGGCCTTGGGCTAAGGGTATGACATGTGGGCTTCCATATCGAAGGACATTCCTGACTTCTGCACTGATGCAGTGCGTACTCCAAATTTTCCGTGATTGTCAAACCAAAGGAGCCATACTGGCCATATTTGAAACTCGCAGCATCTGTAGGCGGGTATATAACCCCTTATAATAGTTTCCATTTTCTTTTCCATTATCCCAATATTACCCCAATATAAGGGCTTCCAGGATGAAACACGTCATCAAGCCTTGCAAAGGCGCCCTGGGCATCTGGCACCGATGTTTTCGGAGCATCACTCGGAGCCTGAATTTCTCAGGCGAGCAACCCAGAAGTTGGCTGTGCTTGCAGTGCCCGCTGCAGTCCAAATAAACTGCATGGATGCCTCATTGGCCAACTGGGAGAAAGCACCAGCCTTCGTTGGGAGCCTGGAAAAAGACGTACGATCAAGTTGCTGCAACAACATTGGTGCTGCCGGCGCGGCGTGGTCGCCGCCGCTGCGAAAGCTCCGAAGGCGCCTTGCACTTACCCGTGCAAAGAAGATGTGGCTTGTCCTGATCTGAGAACTGCAACTAAGGCTAAGCACCACTTCTCCTGCCCATGGCTCTTAAATCAAATTGCTTCTATCATGAACTGGCCCAGTGGGGGGTTGGCTGGCTGGAACTTTGGTGAAGGCTCTTGAGGCTGCGTGCGTACAGAATGCTTGCATGTGCGGCGAACATCGTCGGATTTGTCGCTCATCTGATCAACCGGGATTGTTATCCTTTCAAAATCGATGCCCGAAACTTCAGCGGCATGTGGTCAAGCTCAAGCACACATCCATCGGCACGTTTGAGGTGGGTCTGCCACGGAGGCGCGGCCTGTGGCAGTGCTGAGAGCGTCTTTGCCTCCTCTCTCGCAAACGCACGTCGGCATCTACCTGTACAGTTGTGATAACCTGGGGCGCTGTGCAAGTGAGCTTGACAGAGTGAGAAGGCAGCGCAATTGAAGCGACTGCAGTACCCGCCACATCATTCCGACCCCTCGCTACCTACATGACTACGCGCGATACTGCGTCGCATCAAATACGGTCCACGATCACGCTAAAGCCACATTATCAGTTTGGAAAGGCTGCCTCACATGTCAACAGCGTGGTGCCTCGCTTCGCCTTGCAGTCACCGGTGTGTTACCCTCATGTCTCCCAAGACTGCGAACACTCTGGTCTAAGGGCCAAGCGGGTCGCTGGGCCTGGTGGGCATGGCGTACGCACCTGCAGCTCAAGGTGCGGTAAACATGTAAGACAAACAGCAAGAGTGACAAGTGACCGAAAGGGGACTCAATTGTTCAGCCTCACTCAGTGCTATTCTTGTAGCTTCGTCCTAGGTGTCTCCAGGATGATGGCAGGACTGCAGCAACCTTGCAGCACCATCAGTTCAGCTTGCCGCCCAATCTTTGGTGACTTGAATGTCCTGAGAGGTAGTGCCGATCATGGCTTTGCATCACGCAGCAGGTACGGGAACTGAACGGCAGCTGGTGTGGCACAGTCTAGATGCCCGTTTCTCCTTCATCCCCCACTCTTTGCACACCTCTTCCGGCGATCCTTTGCCGCAAACCTGACCAAGTGGTAAGCCGCATAAGCCGCATAGAAGTACGCAACGGCGCAGGCCCTCTTAGCGATGGACAATGAATTGCGGTGGCCGCACACGCGCGGAGGCACCTAGCTTGGCTAATGGCCAATCGAGTGAGCCGTACTGCTGGTAACTCTCCGCCAGTGAGGGTCTGGCAGAACTGCCGGATGGCTGTTGCGTCGTTCTTGTGTCGGCGATTCCTTGGAGAGGCGGGCCGTGTGCGGTATGGTGCAAGACTAGGTTCTTACAAGGGTATCTTCTGAATATCAAGAAGCAGCAATGATCAAGTAGCAGCAATGATTGTGCAGCTGCAAGGAGCTGTGAAGGGGCCCTGACAGAATCATCACAGCAACACGCTCCTCCGAGGCGGCGCGCTGCTGGATGTAAGAGATCCAAGGCCTGGGCTTCAACAAGCTTGTCAAATGGCGACAAGTCTAGCAGGGCCGCGGCTTCGTGTCCTGCGTGCCGTCGAAGCCTTGAAACGCAACGCCTTCGGAGCATCAAAGCAGCTCAGGTGCAAGCTCACTGTAGACATTGCCTGAGACTGATAAGTTCTTCATGCTCAAACTCCGAAGCATCCCACCTTCGTGACCGTTGAGGACAGTTTTCCTGAACGGGAAACACTTGGAACAAGTCGATTCAAACCAGGTTTTGCGCGAGTGAAGGCTTCCCTTCTCCATGCGTGTTGACGGCAAGTATAGCAGGCAATAGTGGGAATGCCATTTTCGTGCTTTGAGTGAAAACCTCTTTGCATTTCAACATGCTGAGCCCCACTCTGCCAAGCTTTCGGGTTCACGTCAACCCATACCTGAGTCCAGGAAATATTGCTACTCACACTGACACTTCGTCGGCATGAGAAGGAAGATATGTTGGGGAAACTCGGCTGCTGGCCACTCCTGGCCTTGCTGCAGCCTTTCATCGTGGCGATGCTTGACTTTTAAGACTAAGCTCTGCGGAGGGATACCTGAATTGCAACATCATTGCCCAGGCATGGCCTTTGGAGCTCTAGCTGGGATGCCAGCCTTTGGCGGGTAGCCTGTGCAACCCGATTTCGTTTCACATCAAACAACCAATCTGGACTCATGATTTTGTGCAAGCAGAATGTCCAGCGAAGCCTCCAGCTGGCTCTGGAACCGCCTGATCAGAATACCGGAACAGATTGCCGTGCGAGTGCTGGAGAAAATGAGACTTGGCAGGCTTGGTAGGTAGCTTTGGCTAGTAGAGCAATGTTAAGTCGCGGAACGACACCAAACATGCAGTTCTATTGCAACTATGTCAATCAAGTGGCTGCAGCTTGCACGCATGCAACCTTGAACTACATAAACCAGCAGCTGCCTTTGCAACTATCACCGTAGGGGTCGCAACCTAGGCTGATGAGAAGATGGATACAGCGAGCGTGTCCATATTGAGAGCCAAGTCCCGAGCCGGGGGCGGCGCCGGTGGAGCCACTGGCTCCTGGCAGCCAGACTTTGCAATGCATGGAAGGAATCTTTCAAGGCAATACTAATTACTAATGTTCCCGATTACGTTCTACAAACGAATTGCATGGCAATGGCAAGAGCCTGCTCGCTGAAACTTTGAATCTACCCTGTAAATCTTGGAAAGCACTTTGTGGCACTCTTCGTAGCAGCGGTAGCAGTCGCAGAACTTTGCCGCTTTGCTGCCGCCTGTCTGATGGGTGCACCAACTGCAGCAGCTTCAGCCTCTTCCAAAGCAGGGCTGGTGACGAGGGGGCCGCCCAGTGCTGCCAGAATGCCATGTTTTGCTAGATGCTCTTCGTAAAGGGCAACCGCAGCTGCAGTGCATGGCATTTCTTCTTCAAGTCCATAAATGAAATTCCAGGCATCCTCTTGGGAAGTGGAATGTTCCCAAAGATGTTCCATCACAATCCCGCATGCTTCTAAACGATCACTTGTCGACTCTGCAACCAGTCGATCAAGGATCTCTTGCTGAACCGGTGGCAAATGCTCATCCTTCTCGTCCTGAGTGAAGCCTTCCAAGGCAGCCTCTGCCTCTTCTCGTGCTTGCTCGTTCAGGGCCGGCAGTTGTGCGCTCAACCATCCATGTTCCCTGTGATCACCTAAGTCGACTGCTGCATTCTCGTCCATGGTCTTCTTGATTGCCCGGCTTTCCTTCGCCCTTTGGAGTGCATCACTCATGTACTGCTTCTGCCATTTAGCCAGGGCCAGCTTTAGCTTTTTTATTTGAGCCGCCCTCGCGTTCGAGTCCTCTGCATCAGCATCACGCGCGCGCTGGAGTTCTCGCTGGAAGAACTCTCTTTGTCGAGCGGTATACCTGCTAACCTCTTTTAACTCCGCCTGAAGCATGGCCTCAAAAGCTAATCTACAGGCACGTACCACCTGGGCCAGCCTTTCCTGGACCTTCGTAATCTGACTACTCCAGGCACCCGCAGCCGATTCTGACATCTTTTGTTGCGTGGCGAGGTGTGTTTTCAGAGCAGCAGTTATGCTCTGGATCGTCTCGTGCATATCCTTTGCCAACAACTGCAGTATCTGCTTTTGGCCAGAGCGCCACTCTTGGCGAAGAGACGCAACAATGCCCTGGCTGACCTCCTTGGCCCAGGCCTGCCGGGTGGAAGCCAAGTCAAGGTCTGGCTCCTGGGGCGAGCTAGGTATTTTTTTTGTTAGCGGTCCTAGGTGGGCAGTGGTGCGGTCCACCACGGCGGCTGTAAACCTTGCCTTCGACTCGGAATCAGTGAAGCATCGCCTGACAACATCCAGCTCTTGCCTGCGTGCTGCAAAGTACATCTGCAGAAGCTCGTTGGAACCAGTCATCCAGCGGCGGTGCTCAGCGGATGCCATTGAGCGGAAACGTTCCAAGGCCTTCATGACTGATTGCTCGTCTTCCAGACCCCGCTGACGCAGTACCTCCTCTTCGTGGCTGGGATCCGGCGATGCCAGCGCAGAGGCTGGCTGCTCCCATCCCTCCACCAGGTCTGCTGCAAGGGCATCTCGGGCAGTCTCGGTGTATCTCCCTAGGAGATGTATGACATCAAGAAGGAAAGGATCTGACTCGCTACTCCCCGGCGCTGTCATGAAGGAGGCGCGGCATGCCTAAGGGTGAATGAAACCTGACTGAGCCCTCAAATCCATTAAATGTTATTGGTTGTTTGGTAGCTGTTCCGATGGATCTGAGTTTTTGTGCCTGAAAACTGGGCGCAAGTACCACCGGAGACGCATCCCTTGAGCAGTGAAATGTGATGTTGACCATGCACACGCTGACCGTCAGCACTCAAAATTGTAGATGGCCATGCATGGGCATTTGGATCTTAAAATGTGTCCTCAGCGGCGCCACCGAAGAGCCGCTTAAATAGGCCGGGCTTTTCCTGTCAGATTGGCGGGGCAAGTTGACCATAGAGCCTGCTTGACTGCCCATGCATGAACCTGGAGGGGTCGTAGCTTCCCAGGAAAAACAGCTGAGACATGAGCTTTTTCTTCTTCAGCTGGTGGAGGCAATGGTGGTGGAGGAGGAGGTGGTGGCTCCTTTCGCTATCCGACCAAACAAAAACATCGCGCTTTGGGATGCTGCGCCTCAGCTCCTTCCGCCTCCTCCGCCGACACGTCATCCTCACAGCAGGATGTCTAGACTGGGGCTCACAGTAGGCTGGCGATCATCGATTCAACACCAAAATGGGATGGAAATCCGCCTACGTATCAAGCTGACTGCGCTATACAAACGCTTCTTAAATTTGAGATGTAAATCGAAGAGTGCTCTGCTAATCTTTACCAGCTGCCCTTTTGGGCAATGTCGGACAAGTCATATTGCACAACTGAGGTCATCACAATCTTGGCGTCCTCCGGGGCACCGTCGGCACACTTTGGCCTTCAGGATTGGAGGGTCGGGCAAGCCGAGCCGTACCAATGGTTTTCACTTCTTTTCCCGCAGTGTTTCTTTACTCGTGACATCTGCATGGCTTCTGTCTGTGTCTGATCTTCACGGTGTGCCTTTAGCACAGAAGTCACAGGGTTGCAGCCTGAAGGCTGAAAGGAAAACAACTGCGCTGAGGCAGGCTGTACGCAGCCGGCATGCTTTAGCATGTGCAATTGTCATGCTATTTCATGTAACATGTCCTATGCATGCCCCTTCAATCACCCTGCCGATCTCCTCGCTTAAGCCTCTAAGCTAGCTGCGTGCAACAGCCTGGCCGGGTCAGCTCTTTTGACACCCCTCCTGGCCATGCTACGTAGCGGGACCTGCCATGCCACTCCCTAGCTGACATCTACTGCTAGTGTGTGGATAACGCCTTGAACCCGAGGAGATCGTTACAACGTGTTCTGCATTCACCAGGGAGCGGCTGGCATTTGACGTCAGAAATTGAAGGACCAACACACCGAGCCTCCAGCATTCTGCACAAGCCATTGCTTGGCAGCATGTCAACGTGGACGTGATGTTTAATATGTTTACAGTCAGGAGAAATGGAAGCGAAGAGGATGCGTGTCAGCTGGCAACCACTGCAGCCTTGGAAGGCTTGGATGCTTGTTCGCACGTGCCATCCCAAGTTGGTCCCCCGGCAGGTTGCCTATTAAGAAGCAGCTCTCCGCGACTCTCGCGGGCTGCTTTTACTTAACAAATCTGTACACAATTGCTCAGTTCTCAATTCGTCTATACAGGGGGGTTGTGTGCTCGTCAATTGTAGCCTTTGCCTGAAGTCGGCCAAAAATGAGACCTTGAACGGGCGTGGAAGTTACAAGTCCAATGCTGGTGACATTGCTACAGCAGCGTGGCAATGCGGTCATGAAAATGTGTTTGCACTCTTGCGTGGCTGCAATGTCACCAGCTTACAAATCCGGGGCGCCCGCAAGGCCAAGAACAAGTCATGCAAAAATAGCATCTTGGCAAAGCCACCCTTGCGTGCCACGCTCAACCCGAAGGAAGTGCTGAAGTTTCGCCACTGGTCGGCAGACAAGAGGAGTCATACAGACTCTACGCGCTGGATTCGCAGTCCGTGCAGCTGCGAGTGGACACCCGAGTCATTGTACTTGAGGTCTCACTGTCAGAATCTGCAAATGCCGCTTCTTTGATCGGACTGTCCATTGGGATCGGAGCATCTGCCAGGCGGGCGCTGCCTCTGCACAAAACGTTCACAGAATCATAAGGTATCACAGCGGGTCGCTACAACAGGTGCCTTCTTGAAATTGCGTACTAACATGCATGAGTCATGAGCATGATTGGAGCATCCAAGCGGCTTTCCTTCGAAGAGTACCCGCTGAATATGACCGCCCAGAGGCCTTCCATGCAAGAGCCTGCAAGCATGGAAAGTGCGCGCACATGCCCCAAAGCAGCCAGAATCTGGCCTTGCAAATTGGAGCTCGGCATGGGCGAAGCATCCAACTTGCGAAGCGCTGCCACTAGCAATCGGCCTCGACATGCAATGTTGTTCAAACTTGATTAGGATGTGACACATGACAAACAATAATTTTGGTGCAGGAGAGGTGCGACGCTGAGCGCGCCCATGGTGTACCACCGGAGGTCTCTGGGGGCCGCAGCCGGACTCCTTCTTCAAAAGGTTCCTGCTCAAATTCACAATTTTTTCTCTGCCCACTATACAGGACAAGCAGGGAATGCCAGCCTGCTGACCAGCATGGCTGCGACCAAGGATGTTTGAGGATACGCTGCAAATGAACTACACAAAAGAAGGCTCTAGGCTCCTGGACACCTGAGTACTTGGTGGTAATGATAAACGTGCATCTGGTCGCAGCCAATCCAGCTTGGTCCAAGTCACGGCAGGGACCCACGGCTTGGCATTGTGGACATGCTGGAATCCAAACAAAACAGTCAACTCAAGCGTCTGGACATGTCACTTTGCAGCAACATCTCGAAGCATCTCCATGCATGGCCAACGCATGTTTGACTCGTTTCACGAACCAGATGGTGGGTTTCACATGTACAACGCAAACTATGAATCCACAGAAGCGTGGACTTGGCCTCCACGGCAAACCTGCGCATGAGCTTGGTATAGGCAGGGCACAATCTAAAAGGAAATCAACTGACAGCATCGGATAATACCCCCTATAGAAGCCGCACAAACGCTCACCCTCACAGCATGTCAGGAAATGGCATCTGCCTTCGGCGGCAGCTTCTGCGTCTGAAAAACTGCAGGACAAAGACCGCAGCTTTTCCACCTCAAGCCCAGGATGGGTTGCACCCCGGAAGGGAATGACAGTACCAACAAACAGGCCAGCAGGACGCAAGCTTCTATCTGACTCCTTGTCAATGCTGCTGGGTTTTTGAACAAGCTGCCTGCTTTGCGCAAAGCTTTACGGCTTCCCTGACACGCTGAGAATGAAACCTGTTCAAGCGCTTAAGTTCGTGCCTCGGCAGCGTCAAGTAGCAGAATGCAGTAAGATCAAGAGCACGCCACTAAGCTTGGGACACGTTGGCAAGAAACTTTATGATGTTGGGCCAGTCACCCGTCAGCCTTGGCTATTGTCATAGGTACGGCGTTCACGCACAGCTACTTACGGAAGGCATGTTCAAGGCGCTGTGCAAAGGATCAAGACTTTGTCAAATAAGGCTCAGGCCACTGCAGCACAGGCAGCTCGACCCCTGGAAAAAGAAAATGTCAACAGCCAAACGACGCTTGCTCAAGCCCCCGGTTTGCTAAGGATGGAAGATGCTACAGGGCCTGCCTGGCACCTCCATAGCCTCCCTGCCCACGGCGGTGCCGGCTAGGCGAGAGACACCCCGGCAAAACAGGGAAAGCGCCTCGCCAGATTCATCGCCTGGAGCTGGCATCTACAGCAATGGCGCACTCTGACAAGTTCTCATTTTCCCCACCGAACCGTAAACCTGCCGCGCAATCCCCAAACCCTCAATGCCAAGTCTTGAAACCTGAACCGTGCATCCAAACCCCATACCTGAAATGACTTCCCCTCAATGGACGCAGGGTGAGGCAATGGGGAGGGATGGAGGGGAAAGCGAGGGGCACGAAAGGGATTTGGGGAGAATGGGAAGGATTGAGCCCTGGAAATACTTGACCTAGCCACATCAGGGTCATTAGGGACGCCGGATATGTTTGCAATGCCTACCAAAGGCTGGGATTCACAGCTTGTACCCTGCGAATGCACCACATGCCATGATTTGGCTGGTATCCTGCACAAGCCCGCACATTGCAGTGGCTGGCCTGCCACCTGCCATCTGCACCTAGCCATGAGTTCACGGCCCTGTTGCAGCGGCTCCAGGATCATCCTTCAAGGCGGCATTGTTATGTTGGAAGCACCGGAAGTCAAAGCATGTGTTCTTGAAAGTCCTTCGTGGCTCATCGTCGAGCTTTGCCTGACCGCCAAATCCGTCAGAAGCTGAGCTTCAAAACAGCAAAACTGGATTCTGTCGTAAGCTGCGCGCCGGAGTGGTAGGCGAGTCCGGCCTGCGCTTGCTGTCCTGGAGTCTTTTGTGAGGTAAAAACCGAACGCACAACCAGTCAAAGTGTAAACTGCAGTCCAAGCACAGAACAACTGTCGCCGCATCACTTTCTGCTGCCGTGCATCGCTTGGTGGCGCTTCCAACAGCTGAGCGACCGCCGTCATATCTGTATCCTTGGTGACCTGCAAATCAGGTCAGCACACTACCAGCGAATCATCCAGCGCTCCTGACAACTAACATGTCCCATTTTCTGGCTGTACCGTGTTTAGATTATTCTATTTTGGGGGGTGAGCGTGGTTTTATAATGGGGGAGCGGATGCACACAAGCGCAGCCGGCCAGCGCCTCCGGGTTTTCCAGGAGGAAGCTTTTCAGCTCATGAAGCAGTTCCGGCGAGCCATGGGCCACTTTCAACCATGGCCTGCCCCACATGAACAACAACATGCCCAAAAAAACCATGCAGCACTTCAAAAAGAGCTCGGCCTGCTGTTGAGGATTTGCTTCAAATTTTCAACGGCGCGCAAGGCTAAGCGTTTTTTCTGGCCACAGCCTGTTTTCCACGTGCTGGGCAGACTTCACCAAGCAAAAACTGGAGGTCAAATCCGCACTTACTTGCTGACGGGTAGCTAACCATAAGTCTCATCATTGCGATCATGTCATGCTGCTCGAAGGAACCTTCAAGTGCCTCCGGCTGGAGCAAGCCCAATCGTACTTCGCCAAACCTCAGTCGGAAAAACGGAACGACACCAATCGAAGCTGTGCTTGTACACATAAAGGACATAGGGCGATTGAGGGCGTGACAATTCACGTTCGCTTTCTGCCCGGCTGTGTTCCGGCAAGCTGCGCAGTCTGCCGGCTTGTTGCACCAAATCGGCCAGTTTTCTGACAGGATCTGGCGGCATTGCGGCTGGCGAGCCAAGACTACTGTTTCAGCGGTGCGCAACAATTGTTTGGATGTCTGCACGCCTCTTGCTTCTGCAGGCTACACGGAGTAAACAAACAAATGTTGACTTCAAGCTTGTTTGCATGCGTTGAAATAAAAGCCAAAAGCTTGACAGTCGACGAATGATTCTGCGCCCGCCCTGCCCCCCCCGCCCTGCCAACACTCACTCATCCAATTTAAAACTCTTGAATCAGCAGGTGCAAAGCAAAAAACTTTAAAACCCTGGCAATGTTCCTCCAAAATCAACGCCGGTACACGAAAAAACTTGCAACGCATGTGCTCTGCTTGAAGCAAAATTCATCTGTCTTGGATTGAAGTTATTTTGTGTGCAGCAATGAATGCTGTGAATCACCCCTTCAAGCACCTTGACTTCCAGCTCCAAAAAAATATCGTGGCATGGGAGCTTCTCCAAGTGAACCCTACGAGATCCCGAGCTGTGACCCGACAATCTCTTCATAATCCACGCATATCCCTCGAGTACCCAGCATACCTCCTGCTCTGGCAAACCCCGAAGTCCAAGCGCGCATCACCTTGAGTTTGCTCAAGAATCCGAACTTAAAATCCAAACTCGAGCTTCAAGTCCGCTTTGGAGGCTTCATGGAGCAATGTGGGGTACACAGGTAAGCAAGCATGCACGGCAATACAACATGGTTCTGGTTCGCAAGCTGGCAAGATTATTTGGTTAAAAACGGTTGTGCAGCAACTGCATCAAGTGCATCTTTCCGCAACCCAGCGCCAGCTACACAATCTCACTATGTTTATAAAAGCAAAAAACGTCTGCAATCGATGGATTATTCTGCCGCCTCGCCCCGCCCCCAGCACAAATTGCACAAAAAAATGAGCATCGTTCCTCCGAAATCAACTCCTGTGCACGAAAAAACTTGCAAAGAATGTGCTCTGCTCGAAGCTATTCAGTACGCAGCAATGAATGCTGTGAATCACCCCTTCAAGCACCTTGACTTCCAGCTCCAAAAAAATATCGTGGCATGGGAGCTTCTCCAAGCGAACACTACGAGATCCCGAGCTGTGACCCGACAATCTCTTCATAATCCACGCATATCCCTCGACTACCCAGCATACCCCCCGCTCTGGCAAACCCCGAAGTC